AAAAAAAAAAAAAAAAAAAAAACTTAACAACTCGATTGACTTTCAAAATGAGTAGTGTAGAAATTAAACAGAAATAGGACAGGCTACTGATATGATATGATTCGATTCTTAACTACACTGAAGTCTACAATTTAAACCATTGGAGGATAGATGCTTTAATATTAATGGTTTATGTTGACAGTCTTCGGTCCAAACCAAAAAGCGATGGAAAAATGTGATTTTTAATAATAATGTGTTATTCCCCTTCAACATTGCCCCCAAATAAAGGCCGTTACCTCACATTTACTTTTCAAAGATGCTAGATTTTGCATTGATTCGGAATATTAGTACCTGATCAAACTCTTTTACAAGCTGAATACCCATTTCTTGGCCGCCCTCCTAGCACAACCAATTACTTTAGGAAATTTTGAACCGGACATTTAGGTTCAATGATTTGACCTCAAACCTTAAATGCTTGGATGAGGTGGTCAGAGTTTCAAACTCTATAACTATCGTGAACTCCATTAAAAAGCAGCCCGATCGTCGCGCGTCTCATTTGAAAGGGTGACATGTTCATCCGGTCTGGAGATCGAATCCCCAGTTACTAACAACTAATTCAAACTAACTTCCTAACCATTACCCTGGTAAAAAAAAAATTATTTTAGAAAATTTTAGTAATTAAAATGATGTGTGAACAATAAGAGAAAACAAAGTAACTTCACTTGTTGGCTTCAGCCCTAATACTTTTGTTAAATTTAGTGGTGGAAATTTTGATAAAAGTGATTTTCTCTTTTAATCTGATGATGATTATGATTTATATAATAAAAAATAATAAATTTTTTTCTTGAATCTCTAATTATTTACCTTAAACTTTGAAATTAATATTTGCTTGAAGTTTTACTTTTGTTAAATTTAGTGGTGGAAATTTTGATAAAAGTGATTTTCTCTTTTAATCTGATGATGATTATGATTTATATAATAAAAAATAATAATTTTATTTCTTGAATCTCTAATTATTTACCTTAAACTTTGAAATTAATATTTGCTTGAAGTTTTACTTGGAAAGCTCTTACCGGCTCTAAAGTCCATTGAAAGTTATTCGTTCAAAGATCAGCATTGAGTATAAAATTTTTGCAGCACTTTGCAGCTTTTGCCGTCCATTTAATAAATTTCAGCAATTTCAAAACTTTTGTTATATAGGATTGAAAATAATCGTATTGTGTAATTTGAATTGGGTGAGTTTTGTAATATTAAAAGTTTTTTT